GTATAGGTAAAATATGTCATTTTCCTGAAACCTTTTGAAATGAATTTATCGCGTTTTGAAAAAAACAGCTCCTCAATTATAAATTATTATTACATTACAATACAATTAATGAAACAAGTTATACTATATATATATATATATATATATATATATATATATATATATATATATATATATATATATATATTTGGCACTTTATAACGAAAAGGTTGCTGGACCCTCATAAGCAAAGTATCGACTCACCTTCTGTTGCTGGCATAGGCTCGGTGACAGGGTCTTTTCCATCACTTACACGGACGTCTTCCTCTGGTAGAAGGTCGCGAACTTGCTTCATCACCTCTCGTCTGTCATCCTCTACCAGCATTTTCAGGGACTTAAATTTCGGGTGGAGAAAAGTGGCGATTTTATGAGTAGCATTAGGGCACATCTTCTCATCAAGAAGGGCAGACGCGCGAGAGCGGATACTTTTCATGTAAGGTGGGTCTCCAAACTTGGGCTCACAGTGTTTTTTGAGTTTAGAAAACCATAGCAACACCATGTGAATGGTTGGGTAATGTTCCCCTTCAAGCTCGCTGATTGCTAACTTGAAAAGGGTGAGAAAGTCGATCAAGTGTGTGAGTTGATCCTGGTGGATGCCACCAAGGCGATGTTCTTGGTCTCTGTTCTTTAGCAGCTCTCTTATGTCTTGGTATTGTTTCTGTATCGATTCCAACATAGTGACTTTGCTGTTCCATCGCACATCACATTCTTGATTTACAGTGTGCTTTAGGCTGGCGATAGCACCGGTTCTCTTTAGGTATGCAACGAGCTCTTTGCAGTAATCGATCATGTCGACTATATCTTCAATGCCATCGGACTCGGAGTCATTACTGAATGTATGTCTTAGCACCGTGTTAAGGATGTGTGCGGAGCACGGAATCCAGTGGTATGAACGAAGTGCAGCCTTTATGTTCGCGCCCTGGTCAGTGACAAAAACAATTTTGTCTGTTTGTATTCCGTAGGACGTTAACACACTGGTTATCTGCTCATTAAGGTTTTCGCTGGTTTTTTTCAGGGTAGGGTCAAATTCCACCGTTGCCAAAATACGATTTTCCAGCTTCCACTGACTGATGTAGTGACACGTCAAGACTGTGTATGCCCTCTTTTTAAACTCATCTGTCCACATATCTGTGGTTACGGCAATACCACCTTTGCTGGTTAAAGCTTTCTGGATGGCCTCTGAAAGTTTCTGCTTATCAATGGAAGCCTGCTTCTTTGCCCGATCGCACACTGTTTGCCGATGGGGTAAGATGGCACCAGCGTCAACAGCACCGAACTTAGCTCCAATGTCAATCAACGTCTGGGCCACTTGGTGGAATCCTTTACCAGAAACAATATCGAACGGGCGCATATCAACAGAGCACAGGTTCACACATGCATCCGTCAGCTTTGATTTTACATCCTGTGGTACTCTATTGGGATCTCGACGGACAAAACTTGTCAAGGTGTTTGTGGAGGTTTGAGGTTTAGCAGCACACTTGTGATGCACCATGTTAGACGTACCCGTCTTGTGGCTGTCATGAACATAAACTGCTTCACAGGTTTTGCAAATTACATAGCCTGCACTGGTGTCATCCTGATTTACCACTTTGTAAAACTTAATCCAGGCAACACTTTTCTGACCTTCTATTTCCTTTGTTTTTAATTCTCCTTTTTTGAGTTTATCACGTACCTCCTTCGCCGGCGTTGCCATCTCTGATAATAACAGGCAGTCGATTTGCATTGACTCGACTAGCCATATACTGCCTGATAAAAATTGACTATTTCAAAGTGTGCTCGATTTTTTTGGATGTAGGTATAGTCAGATCATATTTAACAATTTATAATTTTTTTTAATTTGATTGATACAACCGCCCGCCACCCGCCCGAATTTATTATTTTTCGTCTCGTCATCCGCCCGATCCGCGGTTTATCCGCGGAGTCCGCGGCTGTAACCGCCAACCGCGCATCTCTAGTTCAGATATTTATCGAGGATGTTTGTACTCAACATGGCAACATTATGTAGTCCTCAATACCTTAGTAATTTCAGTCAGTTAAAACATCAATATTGGGCACAAATGTGTAAAAGTAATAGTTTTCAGTGTCTGTATTTAATGCTGTCATCGCGCTGCTGTCATGTCCACTCGTTGTTTTTGTCATGGGAGCAACAGCGATGATGATTGAAGAAGAACCAGCTTGATCCTGAATGGATGCACGAGTACAGACTCTGAGGTGCCGTACGGTCAAACACCTGCAGCGGGGAATAAATAGATTTACTTCTGAAAGGCTTACAGTAAGATTATGTATTTAATACATTTACAATGATGAAAATGAAGGAGATTTTAGGTATAATTTAAGTTAGTTTCGGTTAGTTTTGTATGTACACAATACAGTTTCAGTTAGTTCTAGTTTAAAAAAAAAAAAGCTTGTTTTTATTTTTCATTTTAGTTAACGACAATTATTTTATATTTTAGTTTTTGTTTTTTTTTGTTAACTATAATAACCTTGGCACTAAGCGGCTATCAGTGAACATGTCAAACCAAAGATCAAAGATCACAGTTTTTAGGCCAGGATTTCAGAAATCATTCAGGACTTAATTTGGACGTGTATATCTATGTTAACAAGCATCACCTGTGCAGCACATATGCCTCCAGTCCAACAGAAGAGCTCCAGAAAAAGAAAAAAAAAGAGCTGACTTCAGTGAAGGATGAGTTGACCAAGCCTCAAGACACTTTATGATGCTGTTCTGCTTATATTTATGCTGCAGACCCTTCCGTCCACAACTGAAGGTCTTTTTAATTCAACTGATTTGCATTGACATAAACAAATGTTTAATAAAATAAACAAAACTAATAAATATAGAATAATACATTTTTAATTATTTATCAATTTTAGTTTAGATGTTGTTGCAAAATAAATGTTATCATATGTGACTAAGCATGGTGTACCATACCACACCCCTACTACTATCCTTGCTGTTATCTAGACTTGACTCTAGTCATGTAAAATCATCGCTCTGCAAATATCTGATATCAATGTTAATTTGATATATACATACACACATATACACTCACTGGCCATTTTTATCAGGTATACCTGTCCAACTGCTCGTTAACGAAAATTTCTAATCAGCCAATCATATGGCTGCAGTTTCAAACTGAGCATCAGAATGGAAGAAAGATGATTTAAGGGAATTTGAACGTGGCATGGTTCTTGGTGCCGGTTGGGCTGGTCTGAGTATTTCAGAAACTGCTGATCTACTGGGATTTTCACAAACAACCATCTCTAGTGTTTACAAAGGATGGTCCAAAAAAGAGAAAATATCCAGTGAGCGTCGGTTTGTGAGTGCAAATGCCTTGTTGATGCCGGAGGTCAGAGGAGAATGGCCAGGCTGGTTTCAGCTGATATAAAGGCAACAGTAACTCAAATAAGCACTCGTTGCAACAGAGGTCTGCAGAGGAGCATCTCTGAACACACAACACGTCCAACCTTGAAGCAGATGGTCTACAGCAGCAAAAGACCACACTGGGTGGCGCTCCTGTCAGCTAAGAACAGGAAACTGAGGCTACAATTTGCACAGGCTCACCAAAATTGGAGAATAGTAAATTGGAAATACATTGCCTGGTCTGATAAGTCCCTATTTCTGCTGCAACATTCAGATGGTTGGGTCAAAATTTGGCAAAGCTAAACAGATGTGTTTTCAGTCTAGATTTGAATGTACCTAATGTTGGGGCCCTGCTTTGACTGAACTCTTGGAATTTCAAATTTACTTGATTAGTTTTGTATTCAGTGAGGAAAATTTCTGTAATATATTGAGGTTCTAGGCCATTTGGTGATTTATAGACAATTAGTAATACTTTCAAATCTATTCTGAATGTACCTGGGAGCCAGTGTAAAGACCTGTGGACAGGTGTGATGTGCTCTGATTTCCTGGTTCTGGTCAGAATTCTGAGCTGCAACTGTCTGACTGTCTTTTAGGAAAGGCCAATGAGGACACTGTAATAGTAATCCACACTGCTGCTGATAAAAACATGAACAGGTTTCACAGTTGTCACTGCAGACAAATCATCTAATATTTGTAATGTTTTTGAGATGATAGTATGCTGATTTACTAACTGCTTTGACATGACTACTAAACCTCAGATCTGACTCCAGAACCACACCAAGACCCTTGACACTTAGAGCCAAGAAATTTAGAAACCAAAGTATATTAAAAATGGTAGAAGCAAGAATTTGTATTTGCATTTTCCATTTAGTTATCTATTATGATTTTGCAGATTTCAGTCTTGACCTTGATTTATTATTATATTTTGTATGTGTTGAAGCAGATTTTTTTTCTGTTGTTAAACTGACAAGGGAGTTAAGGCAATAGTGCAAAAGTATGCTTTATACTGCAAAATTTGCTTTTATATGCAAACCATCTTTTTCATAATGGAACAGTTGAATTTTTGTAGCAGAAATAACATATGGCAGCACACACAGGGCTGCAAGATGAAGAGAAATACAATTTACTATTATCATCATCATCATCATCATCATCATTTATTATTGGACATTGGTCCTAATCACCATCCTAATTTCCTATTTAGGTGGTCAGGTGAATGATTCTATTGATGTTTCAAAATTTGTGTGCCTACAAACCATACAGTTTGAGATTTTGTCTTATGTGTCTGCAGGGTAAAACAACTTTAAATCCAAACCACATCAAAGGGATTCACTTAAATGAGCTCTGGTGCTAATCTGAATTTAAAAGGATGAATGATGAACAGCAGCTGATTAACAGCAACTAAACTCTTTATTTTTATTTATTTATTTTTTTTATTTACTTTTAACCAGCAGCAGAAAACTCAGCCTGAACAGCATAAATGGATTTGATCTTAAAGATAATGTGCAAAAAAATAAAGTTTTTTATTTATTTATTTTAATAAATGACATCAGAGTGGGCGGTGGATGGGTCGCTCAGTCTGATCCAGACACTATAAATGAAAGGACAGAAAGGAGAGCAGAACAAACTCCTAACTGGAGGAGACTCACTCATGGCCTACGAGACAGAGGATCAGGAGACTCAATACTGCTTTCCTGACATCAACTCATCATGTGTGAAGGAGAGACGCTCCAGTCATGGATATAACATCATATATGTGTTTGTGTCATTGCTGTCAGCATGGACTGTGTTTCTGAACCTGCTGGTGATCATCTCCATCTCTCACTTCAAGAAGCTTCACACTCCAACCAACATGATTATTCTCTCTCTGGCTGTGGCTGATCTGTTTATTGGACTCATCATACCTATAGAGGCCATCAGAATGACTGAGTCCTGTTGGTATTTTGGAGACATTGTCTGTGGACTCTATTTGGTATCTGTTGAATTACTCCTTTCAGCATCTCTTGGAAATTTAATCTTAATTGCTGTTGATCGTTATGTGGCTGTGTGTCACCCTTTACTGTACCCACAGAAAATAACCATCACTAAAACACTAATAAGTATCTGTCTGAGCTGGGCTTGGTTTTCAACATATATCATTGCCCTTGTTATTAATAATAGATATTTTGACAATTCACACAGAACAGATGTGTGTTATGGACAGTGTTTGGTCATGGTGAGTTTTAGTTGGACAGTCACTGATCTGTTCATGTCTTTTATTTTTCCTTGCACTCTGATCATACTGTTATATTTGAGGATTTTCTATGTCGTTCATCAGCAAGTGAAGGTTATAAACTCTCTGATGAAGGGTGGTAAATGTGTAACGGAGGGTTCAGTGAAGAGGAAATCTGAGAGTAAAGCTGCTCTGACTTTAGGAATCATTGTGGCAGTTTATCTGCTTTGCTATATTCCATATTATATCTGCTCTCTAATTGTAATCTCCTCTTCTACTGCTATGAATGTTATAATATGGTTTTTGTATGTTAACTCAGGTCTGAATCCTCTGGTTTATGCTTTGTTTTACCCCTGGTTTAAAAAGACAGCCAAACTCGTTTTAACTCTGAAAATATTTGACCCAGCATCCTCTCTGATCAATATTTTTACAGAACATGAATAATAATCACTAGCAAAGCTGTCACTAATATACATATAATAAATCTTTAATTTCTCTGTAATTTTCACTACTCGTGTTATTCATTATTACAGAGCTTAGTTCAACCTGCAATTTTAATGTTTAAGTAACTAATGATGTGTTGCTGTGAAAACTGAATAAAGATGTGTGACAGTAGTATCCATTATTAACTGGGTGAATTGGTTATGGCAGAGGCTGGTTGTGTCTTGTCTTGCTTTATGCTTAATCTCATATATTAATATTAATAATATTTATAATTGTCATGAAAACTGTGTTTGCAAGCAACAAAACAGTTACCAAAATCACCTGTTCAATGATAATGAACTTTATACTGCCTTTTTCTGAATCCAAAAAAGGAAGGTTTTATGTTGTGTGTCTGAGAGTGGTGTGCTAATGGAGTGATAATAAGAATCATCTGTGCAACACACCTGGCTTCAGCTCAACAGTAGTGCTCCAGAAGGAAACATTGGCTGTTTTGGCTGTGTTCTCGTGCAACGTCATCATCAGCTGCCCAGGTTCAGTTCCAATACTCAAAGACTGCAAGTGCGGAGGATGGGACAAACTTCCCAGATGTGTTCTTGATATCGAGGACGCACTGATGCACACTTGAGCACCGAACTTGCTCTGGAAGTCCCAGAAGTCATTGCGACTGAAGGTGGGAAGCGCTGCATTTTATTTAGATTTATTATTAAAGTTTAGAGGTATTACTTATTTACATCAGGAGTTTCCCTAAATGAATCGGTGAAAGTAAACATTAACATGAACATCTTAATAAAGGAATAAACACATTAAGGGTGTTTGTTTGCTGAAATTCCTATTAAAATCTGTTTTATTCATATTGTGCAACATAGATTTATAATGTTTTCATGCAAAGTATATATTTTGAAGAGGAAGAAAACAATAAATCGTTGTATGAAGGCTGCAATGTTTAAATACTTTACCATTTAAAAGACGTGAAGGTCACGTGACCATCAGGAAGAACGCAGCATCCCATTTCTCAAAGGACGCATTCTCTGCCCTCGCGGTCTCCTGAGTTCGTTCTTCCGAGGACACTTGGCAAGACCGGTCTCCACAAGAACACAAGTTCGTTCTCTGCATTCTTGGAATTGAGAAACAGCCATTTATTTAAAAACTAAAATCAAGAATTACAAGAAATCTATGCCTAATTTCACAGACATGTGCTTAAATTAAACCAGGATTAGGCCATTGTTCAATTATAACATTTAAGCATTTTATTTTTTTTATAAATAAGACTTCGAAAAACAATTACTGCTCGACTCAAAACAACCTTCACTACATGTTTCTTACAGTTCAAACAGCTTAGAGTTACATTTTTGTCTGGTATTAGGCTGATGCCTTTTGTGTGTTTGTGACCCTAGGAACTATAGTGTGATTGCAATTATGGTTATTAATTACACGCACGCACACACACACACACACGCACACAAAGTTGAAGTCAGAATTATTAGCTCCCCTGAATTATTAGCCCCCTGTTAATTTAACAGAGAGCAGATTTTTTTCAACACATTTCTAAACATAATAGTTTTAATAACTCATCTCTAATAACTGATTTATTTTATCTTTGTCATGATGACAGTAAATAATAGTTGACTAGATATTTTTCAAGACACTTCTATACAGCTTAAAGTGACATTTAAAGGCTTAAATAGGTTAATTAGGTTAACTAGGCAGGTTAGGGTAATTAGGCAAGTTATTGTATAATGATGGTTTGTTCTGTAGACTATCGAAAAACAAATCTAGCTTAAAATGGCTTTAAAAACAAAACTGCTTTTATTCTAGTCGAAATGAAACAAATAAGACTTTCTCCAGAATGTATGTTTAACATGGCAAGAAAATTTTCCCAATTTGTCTGATAATATTTTTTTCTTCTGGAGAAAGTTGTATTTGTTTTATTTTGGCTAGAATTAAAACAGTTATTAATTTTCTAATAACCATTTTTAGGACAATATTATTAGCCCCTTTAAGCTAGATTTTTTGCGATAGTCTACAGAATAAACCATCATTATACAATAACTTGTCTAATTACCCTAACCTGCCTAGTTAACCTAATCAACCTAGTTAATCCTTTAAATATCACTTTAAGCTGTATAGAAGTGTCTTGAAAAATATCTAGTCAAATAATGTTTACTGTCATCATGACAAAGAAAATAAATCAGTTATTAGAGATGAGTTATTAAAACTATTATGATTAGAAATGTGTTAAAAAATCTGTTCTCTTTTAAACAGAAATTGAGGAAAAAAATAAACAGAGGGTCTAATAATTCTGACTTCAACTGTATATATATATAGTGTTGGGAAAAATGAATATTTTGGTTATTATTTCTTTCTCTTCTTTTCATTAAACGATTATATGTATTGGACATTTAAAAGCCATATATTAACTGAATTTCTTCTGTTGAGTTTGAGAAGCTTTGCATACTAATAAAGCAATTTTGCAATAGTTGATAAATGTTTGAACATTAACTTGAGCTGTGCAGAAACTTCCTGTCAGAAGAAAGGTGTTAAAACTGAACACAGAATATGTGCTAAGAAAGTTTTGTGCTTCTTAATGTTGTGCAGAGAATTCATTGAAAAAGAGGAGGTATGTATGTGTGCGGCCAACAGAGGACTGGAGAATGACTGACAAGTGACGAATTTCACTAAAATCCTAAATACCTGCTAATATCAGCTGTCTATAAAAGCTGGAGTCCTCCTGAATGTAACTCCTGGATTGCATTAAGAATGACAAAATTCTGTAAATCGACTTATTCATTTATATCCAATAAATTAATATGTTAAACCCTCAAGAAGAAAAACCTCTCCTGATCTTTTTTATTGAACATGCATAAAATTAATTGAACATTCATACGTACGTACGTGCGTACATACATACATACATACAAGCAAATGTTATTCTTGGACAAAGCTGGGTAAGAATTTGAAGGAAAAGTTGTCTCGTATTCATTCTGAATATTCAATTAACTTATTTTATGTAAAAAATAAAAATGAAAAGAACACAAAAAAGACTTTAGGTGGGTTTTCAGAAAGAGCGGTCACATGTACAATGGCAACAAAAAAAAAAAAAAACTAATAAATGAAAACAGTAAACCACTTTGCTCCATTTGCATTTGTGTTATCAGCCTGGAAATATCAAGAGCCATCAGATAATCACGAACAATTGAAAAGGAGTTGCTTCTGTGCTGTCTTATTGCTTTCTGGACAAAAGCTTGATTGCTTGGTCATATTTCAGCATCCATAGTAAAACAGTTTCAAATTTCTGGACAAGAAAACCAGCAGCTGCATGAAAAGTCTTTCGTTCAAAGTCAATTCCTGGCAGGCCGCAGCTCTGCACAATTTTCCTTCCACCCTAATCAAACACAGTTGATCCAAATAATCAAGGTGTTCAAAAAAAGTCTAGAACACCTTCATTAGTTGCATCAGCTGTATTTGATTAGGGTTGAAGCAAAACTGTGCAGAGCTGTGGCCTGCCAGGAATTGACTTTGAGAACTTTGGCTTTACACATTTGCGGGGATTGGTGGAGAGAAGAGGGTGATGAAGCCAATAGACCTTTTTCACATGACGTCACGCGGTGTCCGGTTCAAATTCAATTCAATCAGCTGTAGATTTACTACATATTCGGTTAGACCGTTTTTGTTGTCTGCATTCAAGGTGAGACATCTCTCATTTAAAAAAAAAAAAACTTACAGAACATCCAGATTTCTGCTTGAACCAAGGAAATGGGACTTTAAATGTAGTGTATTGCTTTGTGTTGCTGTCTTTACTGCAGATGAAGTTGGTATGTACTTGTCAGCATTTGTCAAATAAAGATTTAAGATGTTAAACAGGTGCTGAACATTTTTTTTTTTAGATTTATTTATTTTTATTTTTTTGTGTCCTGAAGAATTAGAAATAAATAAATATGTGGTTGTTTTACTGTGGTTGTATACAGTGGACTGAATCACAAACACATTCATTACTGCTCAGTTCTCTGCCATTTTTTCTACACATGATTTTTTTTTTCATGAACATAAAACGTTTATGTCTATAATATTTAAATTAAATGAAAAAGAATAACAATGTTGCATGTGACTCTTAATAAACAAACAGAATCATTATAAAAATTTATAATTGCAAAAATAAAACCTAGAGGACTACATTTGAATTCAGTATTATTAGATTATGACATTATTTGTAACATTATTAATTAAAAGGTATCAAATTACAGATATCAAATTAAATCCCCCAAAAAGGTGGCTGCAGCGCATAATTCATTCATTCAAATGGAGAAATTTAACAAAACATTAATTGATCAGTAAATAATAAATGATGAAACTGATTGCATTTATTGATGAAATTCCAGGTATATGTGAAGATTTAATTAAGAATTTTACTCATGCTGGAACATTTACACATAACAGATAATATAAATTTACATTCAGAGCAGCATTAAAGTAAAAAAATAAACTTAATTAGTAAGAGAAAAGGTTACAAGCATATACTTTTCTTGATAAATAATAGCATTATTATTTCTTTTCCAAATATCTTAATCATTTTCAAACTAAGAAAGCAGTTCAGTATTGAAAGAAGAAACATTTGGACACATGCCCAAAACTGTAATAGTCTTAAATCTGATCATGTAATGGTTATATTTTTATTTGGAGATTTTCCAAGTCTTCCATTTATTCAAAGGTAAACCTGAAGTAAAAATACACTGCGTTGCCGATAGCGGGAAGTCTATTATGATATGGGGATGGTTAAGACGCAATAATGGGCAGAGGCCAGTGGGAAAATTTGACCAGGATGCCATGGTTAAACCCCTACTCTTTTTCGAAGTACACCCTGGGATTTTTAATGACCACAGAAAGTCAGGACCTCGGTTTTACGTCTCATCCAAAAGACGGTGCCACTAAACATTATCGAGTCTTAATCAATATACTGGGGAATTTGGAAGAAAAGGGTTGTATTTTCAATGTTGGAGAGAGTTTTCTTTTTCTTTTTTCATAGATTACATCAGAGTGGGCGGTAGATGGGTTGGTCGGTCTGATCCATACACTGTATAAATGAAAGGATAGAAAGGAGAGCAGAACAAACTCCTAACAGGAGACTCACTCATGGCCTATGAGACAGAGGATCAGGAGACTCAATACTGCTTTCCTAACATCAACTCATCATGTGCCAAAGGACAACACTCAAGTCATGGATATATTGCATATTTGCTTGTGTCATTGCTGTCAGCATGGACTATGTTTCTGAACCTGCTGGTGATCATCTCCATCTCTCACTTCAAGAAGCTTCACACTCCAACCAACATGATTATTCTCTCTCTGGCTGTGGCTGATCTGCTTATTGGACTTCTCATGCCTGTAGAGGCCATCAGACTGATTGAGACATGTTGGTATTTTGGAAACACTTTCTGTGGACTCTATTTATTATTTGTTGCATTACTCCTTTCAGCATCTCTTGGTAATTTACTTCTAATTGCTGTTGATCGTTATGTGGCTTTATGTCACCCTTTATTGTACCCACAGAAAATAACCATCACTAAAACTTTAATGAGTATCTGTCTATGCTGGGTTTGCATATCAGTTTATAACACTGCCCTTGTAATTAATAATGGGAATTTAGACACTTCAAACAGAAAAGATGAGTGTTATGGAGAATGTTTCCTCATGGTAAGGTTTAGTTGGATAGTCATTGATCTGTGCGTTTCATTATTTTTTCCTTGCACCGTGATCATTATATTATATTCCAGAATTTTCTGTGTTGTTCATCGGCAAGTAAAGGTTATAAACTCTCTGATGAAGGGTGGTAAATGTGTAAAAGAGGGTTCAGTGAAGAGGAAATCTGAGCGTAAAGCTGCTCTGACTTTAGGAATAATCGTGTCAGTTTATCTGCTTTGCTATATTCCATATTGTATCTGTTCTCTAACAGTCAACTCTTTGACAGTAATGAATGTTTTAATATGGCTTCTGTATGCTAGTTCAGGTATGAATCCTCTGGTTTATGCTTTATTTTACTCCTGGTTTAAAAAGACAGCTAAACTCATCCTAACTCTGCACATATTTCAGCCGGCATCCTCTCTGATCAATATTTTTACAGAACATTAATTATAATTACTTCCAAAGCTGTCACTAATAAAGGCATATGAATATTTATATCTGTAATTTTCACCAAAGTTCATGAAGCTCATTTAAAAGTGGATGTTTGATTTAAGTAACTTCTGTGCTGTTTATATACAAAGCAAATACAAATTCAATTTACCAGACTAGTAATTATTACCACATTATTATTATGCAAGTAAATTAGGAATAAGAGCTTATGTGACTCACCTTGCTTTTTGCTTCAAGTCTTAATTCCTAAATTAATGTTTTCATAATAATATTCAACACCATAAGGGGGTGTATTCTTCCAGAATTGATTTTGATGTTCAAGCTTGTTCAAATCCACCTATTCATAGAGAATGAACTTGACATTTGCTGTGTCTCATAAGAAAACACAATGCTGAAGTGTTGAAATTCTACAGCCAACTTAATTCATGGACATAAATGTCTAATGGACACACCAGACCTGCTTATTAGAGCTTTTAATTTTATATGGCATCAAATAAGTATTAAATACGAGTGTTGTGTTGTGTTAATATTGAGCATCACACCTCTAGCCCAACAGAGGAGCTCCAGAAGGGGGAAAAAAAGGAGAGCTGATGAAAGGTGAAGGACGAGAGGAGCAGGCCTCAGCAACTTTATGATGCTCTTCTGCTTATATTAGTGCAGCAGCTGTCTAGAAAGCTCTGCTATTGTTAATTGAATTTTGTTGTTTTATTGTTTTAGGATTAAATCTAAGTTGCAATAATTGTTTGCTAGTTCATGAACTATCGACTTTGTGTCTGCATCGTTATATTAGTTATCACAAATTAGAGAAAATATATCTATATATAATGACATAAACTACATTGTGTTTGTTCTACTAGTTTGAAAAATAAAACTCATAAAATACAAATCAGGAGTGATGATGATCATGAGCAGAGAGGATAGTGATAATAAAGACATATTTTAATTGCACTCATTATAATGTTATATTTGAGGATTTTCTGTGTCGTTCATCAGCAAGTGAAGGTTATAAACTCTCTGATGAAGGGTGGTAAATGTGTAACGGAGGGTTCAGTGAAGAGGAAATCTGAGAGTAAAGCTGCTCTGACTTTAGGAATCATTGTGACTGTTTATCTGTTTTGCTATATTCCTTTCTGTATCTGTTCTCTAACTGTAAACTCTTCCACAATTCTAAATGTTTTAATATGGGTTTTGTATGCTAACTCAGGTCTGAATCCTCTGGTTTATGTGTTATTTTACTCTTGGTTTAAAAAAGACAACTACACTTACTTTAACTCTGAAAATATTTTTACAGAACATGAATTATAATCTCTAGCAAAGCTGTCACTATAATACATATAATAACATTTGATTTCTCTTTGTAATTTTCACTACTCGTGTTATACAATATTACAGAGCTTATTTCAATCTGTAAGTTTGATGTTAAAAGGGCCATGAAACCCCCTTGTTTCAGCAGGGTTTTTTGACACCTCTACTTTGGAAAAAGTCAGGAAAGTGGGCGCGTCCAGCTCTGTTTAGGGGGAGTGTCAGAGGAGGGGAAGAGGGAAGGTCCGTAAAAATTTGCATAAAAATGGGAGTGTCGGTTTGGGCACATGCTAATTTTCACACACTTCCACATTTATTTTTCATAAAGTAACAGAAGGATTTTTAATAGCAGATAATTCAATTCAAGCACATTCAAGGCAGCATCATAATAAGAAATGTAATTTACTGTTCGTATTATTGTCAGTTTCGTCATCATTAATATTTAATAATTATTAGACATTCATTATGGATTTATTGCACAAAATATCAATCAGTCATCACAGCATTTTTTAGATAGTTGTTCCTGATTTTTGTTATTCCTAATTAATGTTGTTTACAAATACAATAAATCCCTTAATATACAATTTGCAGTGGTGCTGCTCATTCATTTTTGCTGGGTGCTCCTTAATTTTTTTTTGTTGCTACCAAATTTTTTCTGGTGCTCCTAAATTTTTTTTTTTCTGGTGCTCCTCATTTTTTTCTAGTGCTCCTAAATTTTTCTGATGCTCCTAAATTTTTTCTGGTGCTAATAAATTTTTCTAGTGCTCCTAAATATTTCTGATGCTCCTAATTTTTTTCTGGTGCTCGTACTTTTTTTCTAGTGCTCTTAAATATTCTCTGGTGCTCCTAATTTTTTTCTGGTGCAACAAAGTTTTTTTCTTGTGCTCCTAAATATTTTAAGTTGGGAGCAGTGGTGCTACCAAGTGAAAAAGCTCATTTCAAGCTAATTTTTGGGCAGGATAAAGACCAAAAAAAAAATTGCCTGCAAGCCGCTACAATAATTTATTCATTGATTACATCAGAGTAGGTGGTAGATGGGTTGGTCATTCTGATCCAGACACTGTATAAATGAAAGGACAGAAAGGAGAGCAGAACAAACTTGAAACAGACTCGCTCATGGCCAATGAGACAGAGGATCAGGAGACTCAATACTGCTTCCCTGACATCAACTCATCATGTGTGAAGGGGCTGCTCTCTAATCATGGATATATCATCACATATGTGTTTGCATCATTGCTGTCAGCATGGACTGTGTTTCTGAATCTGCTGGTGATCATCTCCATCTCTCACTTCAAGAAGCTTCACACTCCAACCAACATGATTATTCTCTCTCTGGCTGTAAATGATCTGCTTATTGGAGTTGTCATGCCTGTAGAGGCCATCAGACTGATTGAGACGTGTTGGTATTTTGGAGACACTTTCTGTGCACTTTATTTATTATTTGTTGAATTACTTCTATCAGCATCTCTTAGTAATTTAGTTTTAATTGCTGTTGATCGGTATGTGGCTGTGTGTCACCCTTTACTGTATCCACAGAAAATAACCATCACTAAAACACTAATGAGTATCTGTCTGAGCTGGGCTTGGCTCTTAGCTTATATCGTTGCCCCTGTAATTAATAGTAGACATTTTTACACTTCACATGGAACAGATGAATGTTATGGAGAGTGTTTAGTCCTCATCAGTTTTAGTTGGACAGTCACTGATCTGTTCATGTCTTTTATTTTTCCTTGCACTGTGATCATAATGTTATATTCAAGGATATTTTTTGTCGTTCATCAGCAAGTGAAGGTTATAAACTCTCTGATGAAGGGTGGTAAATGTGTAACGGAGGGTTCAGTGAAGAGGAAATCTGAGAGTAAAGCTGCTCTGACTTTAGGAATCATTGTGACTGTTTATCTGCTCTGCTGGATTCCATATTATATCTGTTCTCTAACTGTAATCTCTTCCACAATTATAAATGTTTTAATATGGTTTTTGTATGTTAACTCAGGTCTGAATCCTCTGGTTTATGCTTTATTTTACCCCTGGTTTAAAAAGACAGCTAAACTCATCTTAACTCTGAAAATATTTCAGCCGGCGTCCTCTCTGGTTAATATTTTTACAGATCATTAGTTATAATCACTAGCAAAGCTGTCACTAGTATAAAATTAATTATGTTTGTTTTCTCTTTGTAATGTTCACCACTTATGTCATACATTACTGCACATAGCTTATTTCAAGCTGTAAATAACTTATGATGTACTGCTTGGAAAACAAAAGAGCAGCAGAACAAAATTCACAGCAGTACATCATAAGTTACTTAGAGATCAAACTTACAGGTTCAAATAAGCTATGTGTAGTAATGTATGACACAAGTGGTGTGAAAGTTGTATCCTTTATTAACTGTGTGATTTAGGTATGAGGGAGGCCGGTTGTGACTCCTTTACGCTTAATCCCATATAATAGCATTAATACTATTTATAACTGTCATGAAAACTGTGTTTGCAAGCAACAAACATTGTTACCAAAATCAAACTGATAATGAACTTTATACCTTTATACCTGCTTTTTCTGAATCTAAAATACCTTATGTTGTGTTGTGTGTCTGAGGGTGTTGTGAGCAGAATGAGGTCAGTGATGTGAGTGATAAGAGTCACCTGTGCAGCACAGCTGTCTCCAGCACAGCAAATGGACATTTTACATGCAAACTAAATTAATAGTTACAACCAATCTAAGCCCCGTTTCACAGACATAGGCTCAGATTAAACCAGGATCAGGCCATAGTTCAATTAGAACATTTAAGTGTATTTTTCTAATAAATATGCCTTAGAAAAAAAAAAAAACACTTCATGTGGTTGCCACATGAAGACAATACAACCATCAGTGCATGCTTCTCACAACTCAGATTTACATGTGTGTCTGGATTTAGACTGAAGCCTTGTTTGTGAAACCAGGAACTATAGTGTGATTACACTACGATTACTACATTTACAAGAACATCAGTAATCAAATTATTTACCTTAATCTTAATAAGACAATATATTTAAGGTGTTTAATAGGATATGGGGTATATAATATGAGGTGTTTAATATACATACACATACATATAATGACGACAAAAAGCCCTGTTGGAAAGCCGAGAAGGAATTTGAAAGGAATTTTTTATTTATTTATTTTTTACATTGTTTTGCTAAGGGCCTACTCGCACTATGGTATTTGAACCGTGCCCAGGCCCGTTTCCCGGATCGTTTGAGAAGTGTGAGTGCTCTGAATCAGGCTCAGGCATGGTTTACTCGGCCGGTCCTGGCGTAGTTGAAAGACGTGTGCCCGAGTGTGGTTCACTTGGGCTTTGGCAAGTGCAAAATGCGCCTAAACTCAAAACTGAAAGCGAGATGTGACTTTTAGGGACTGTTTCATAATGATTTATTAATCATTAAATCATTCAGTCTTAGTGAATTGTCGCAGTTTATTAAAAACGCAAACCCCCCACTGCACGACAGCTGCACCATCAGCAAACCTCCTAATTCCTGCAGCACGAGTACTCTATGATTGTTTATGAGCGTCAAAATTGGCTGATCTGTTTGGTGAAATATTTGACTGCATGTCACTGCATATCAAACAGCTTAAACGATATAACTAAAGAAATCTCCACTGTGCTGAGCGAGAGCGCTTACTGAACAGTGCAGCATCGATGACGTAATCGTGCCCAGGCCGAATGTAATGTGAGTGTGGACCGTCGGGGGAGACGGGACGGGGGACAAGTGTGCTTTGGCCTGGTTTAAGGCAACTGTACATAGTGTGAGTACGGCCTAAATGTAAGATTTGAGAAATCTCAGATTCTTTTGTGCATCCACATGGACAATGCAAGCATCTACATCCACACCTCATGGAGTGAGAATGTGAGAAAACTCCCACACTCCCTTTTCCTATTCTTTCCACTCACAGAAAGGTCATCTTAACTCACAGAATAGTCATCTCAAAGTATAAATGTTTTGTATCAATGCAATTGACTTTCTGCATCATCTTTGATATCATTTGAAAGCATTCTGCTAACTCTGTAATTATTCATTATAGTAGATTATGCTGAATCCTTGTTTCCACACTTCCTGCGTCAGGTCAGTAGACGGACTAAAGTCCAGTTGAGATGGAGCATTGGGCACACTAATTAAATTTTAGAGATCCGACTGACTCTTGATATTGATTTAAGTGTACTTAGGTTAAAAAGGAGTTATTTTCATCTAGGGCAACAATGTGTTGTACAACTAACCTAGATAGGGTGCCTGACCCTTGTTTGAAAGTAGTGTATTACTAAATGAAGTGTACATGGGAAACCATGAGCTTGGCTAAACCAGATTTATTATAGCAAAAAGTAGTCGGTTACAATTTCAATAATGGCCTTGACCTATGATTAGAAGTAATGTTACTTTTAACTCATGAGTGTACATCTAAGATAGGGCTCAGGAACCTTTTTTTCAGCAAAGAGCCAATTTAGATCTTTTTTTTTTTTCATCAAATACATTTTTTAAGAGCCATATGGGGTGTGTATAAAACAAAACCTTTATATATTTATCGACAAAACCTTTATTTATGTCCATGCAGAGCTCAAAAATAAACAAATATGACGCATCACAATGTATGAAGAAAGGACAATTTATAGATTTTGTTCTTTTTGCCATCGCCACCCGAATGATTGAATTTACGTGAGTGAAGGTTCCATAAAAATGTAAGAAATATAACTTGCCCTTTATTGTTGTCGCTATTCAATTTAAACTACAGCACCACATATCCGCATTGGTTGAAACATCTTTTTATTGTAAACTGAGTTCTTATTCATTTTGTTGTAGAAAATACAATATAGGTGAGGCAGTGGCGCAGTAGGTAGTGCTGTCGCCTCACAGCAAGAAGGTCGCTAGTTCGAACCTCGGCTCAGTTGGCGTTTCTGTGTGGAGTTTACATTTTCTCCCTGCCTTCACGTGGGTTTCCTCTGGGTGCTCCGGTTTCCCCCACAGTCCAAAGACATGCGGTACAGGTGAATTGGGTAGACTAAATTGTTCGTTGTGTGTGAGTGTGTGTGTGGATGTGGATGTTTCCCAGAGATGGGTTGCGGCTGAAAAAGCATCCGCTGCGTAAAAACTTGCTGGATAAGTTGGCGGTTCATTCCGCTGTGGCGACCCCGGATTAATAAAGGGGCTAAGCCGACAAGAAAATAAATGAATGAATGAAAATACAGTATAAATGTATTATTAATATTGTATTATCAATAGGAAACTGATTTCTAGTAACTTATATTTTTTAAAATGTAGAAATATTATTGAAAAAGAGATACATATTTTTGTTCAAAGAGCCACATGTGGATCCCGAGCCATATGTTCCCTACCCCTAATCTAAAGGGACTAATCAAAAATACTTTAAAATGAGCAAGCATAAAAGCAGGCATCCAAAATTATTAGTCACAGTGTTAAACGCTAAGGATTTTTTCTACTTGCCCTGCCAAAATTTCACTGGCCCCACCAAAAAAAAAAAAAAGTTAATAGCTATTTGATTGTGTGTGTGTGTGTGTGTGTGTGTGTGTGTGTGTGTGTGTGTGTGTGTGTGTATACTGGTCAAAAGTTTTAGTTATTTTTGTAATGTTTTTTTAAAGGAAAATTATTCAGTTCATCACGGCTTCATTTATTAAATGTAAAAAAAAAAAAGTTAAATTGTTAAATATTTATTCAAATTTTAAATAACTGCTTTCTTATTGTATGTAGTTTCAAATAAAATTATTATTTCAGATATTATTGCTTGTATTATTATTACCATTAACAACAATAACATTAATAATAATGATAGTAGTTAGTGATTTCTGAAGGATCATGTGACTCTGAAGACTGGAGTAATGAAGCTGAAAATTCATCATTAAAATCACTGGTCAAAGGATTAAGTTTAATAATGAACTACTTTAAAATCTGCCCAGTTAGTGGAATGAACTCCCTAACTGCATCAGAACGGCAGTCACTCACTGTCTTCAAAAAACGACTTAAAACTCAACTATTTAGTCTCCACTTTCCTTAGTAGTTTGCAATTCCCTCTCTGACCCATCCACTAACGACATTATATGAAAATTTAAAAAAAAAATTTTTTTTTTTGCTTCTTACACTTTCTTTGCATAACTGAAACTTGCCTACAGCACTTATTCATTGTTGCTTTTATAATTGTGTAAATTGCTTCCTTGTCCTCATTTGTAAGTCGCTTTGGATAAAAGCGTCTGCTAAATGACTAAATGTAAAATGTAAATGTACTTTTGAATTGTTATTTTATACTGCAACATTTCATAATTTTGCTGTACTTATGATTAACTAAATGAAGCCTTGGTGAGGAGAAGAAGCTTAGTTACAGCAAGATACAGTAAGATTTACAGCAGCTGATTAGAGCAAATAAACACATTCCTGAAAAAAACTTTATATTTGAACAGTGGCAGAAAACCCCAACTAGTAATGTATTTGAATGTTCAACAAAAAGAAGGAATGTTTTTTCTTTTTTCTTTTTTTTTTGATAGATTACATCAGAGTGGGCGGTAGATGGGTTGGTCAGTCTGATGCAGACACTGTATAAATGAAATGACAGAAAGGAGAGCAGAACAAACTCCTAACAGGAGAAGACTCACTCATGGCCTATGAGACAGAGGATCAGGAGACTCAATACTGCTTTCCTGACATCAACTCATCATGTGTCAAGGAGAGACGCTCCAATCAAGGATATATCATCACATATTTGTTTGCATCATTGCTGTCAGCATGGACTGTGTTTCTGAACCTGCTGGTGATCATCTCCATCTCTCACTTCAAGAAGCTTCACACTCCAACCAACATGATTATTCTCTCTCTGGCTTTTACTGATATGGTAATCGGACTCGTCATGCCTATTGAGGCCATCAGACTGATTGAGACATGTTGGTATTTTGGAGACGCTCTCTGTGGTCTCTATTTGGTATTTGTTGAATTACTTCTCTCAACATCTCTTGGTAATTTAGTTTTAATTGCTGTTGATCGTTATGTGGCTGTGTGTCACCCTTTACTGTACCCACAGAAAATAACCATCACTAAAACACTTATGAGTATCTGTCTGTGCTGGGTTTGGCTTTCAACTTATATCATTGCCCTTGTAATTAAT